CCTCAAACCAGATTATCTCAGACTACAGCAGAATGTCCTCTTAACCACATGCCCTAAGCTGGGCAGGTGCTATTTGCTAAGCACACAGTAATCACCCTTTGCCTTTAATTAACATATTTCAATACTTAACCTTTTTTCTTCTATAAATCCCCTCAGGCTACAACAGCTTCTATTCAGGGACTTTTGCTCCAGCAGATGCTCAATCACTGTCACAAGCTCAAGAACTGCAGCCAAGAAAATACTACAGCAGCTAAATTAAAAAGTCTCCAGAAATTGTGTCCTTTTGAAGTGTAAGCTTGTTAATAATTGACAATAGTTTATATGAAAGGCTCTGCTGTCTAAACAAACATTTAACACATTAGACAGTAATGGCAGTCACTATAGTGGAACGTAAACACCTACTTGCAGAATTTGTTACAAGAAGCTGTTTCCAAATCCCACACAGAAGAGCACTACCAGTGTTCCTGAATTGTTTTAACTAACACTGAACTGAGGCATCCAAACACATCTTTCCACAATGGCTGCAGAAAAGGTTATTTCATCACTCACTGATAAGTAATGTCAGTGTGAAGCAATTTCAGTATACACCAGGTTTCACCTCTGTAACAAGTAGAACTCTACAGCTAATAACACATTCTCTTCTACCTCCTTTTAATTTTTGACATGTAGTTTAATAGCCTGCCTGGGAGCTTGGACCTGGCAATAATTTTGGTATGCCTTGAACTTACCTGAGTTGCAATTAATTTTCTTAATGAAAATATCTGGGAGTTTTTTGGTTGGGTTTTGGTGGTGGTGGTGTTGTTTTAGTTTGACTGGACTGGGTATTTAGGGGGGTTGAGGTTTGGGTTTTTTTGTTTATTTGGTTTTTGCCAAAATGCAGAAAGCACAAGTCACAAGCTAGAGGTAAAAAAAAAAAAAAAAAATCAAACCCAAATTCTTCTAAATACTGTTCTAGATAGATTTCATACAGAATGCTATGCTAAACATAAAAGTAGTTTTTAGGAAGGAACAAAATTATCCATCCTCTTATTTAACACAAACTAAAGGAAAATATTTCTGAATTCCAGACCCATGATGATAGCCTGCCTGATACAAACAGCAGTGCTAAATAAATCACAAGTCACAGCACACGGTAGCTGGCATTGCAAAATGGGATTTTTCCAGGAAAATGTTCTGACCCAAGCAAGCTCAAGATACTGTTCCTTTGAGGTATTTCTGCTTTAAGTAACCAGAATGGAGTGAACCATTTTCATAATGTCAACTTCTGCTTTGCCTGGGACAAGATATTTATTGAGAACATGTTGGAAGATGAATCCTTCCTATTCATCCACACGCTGACATAATTAGAGAGTGACTAGCATTGATTTAAGTTTTATTGCTTGGAGGAGTTTTATCACATTAATAGAAAAGGAAGCACAATGTCCAAGTTACTTCTCATGCCTTCAAACAAAAAGATGTGAAGCAAGAAATTAAGTAAGAATTCATGTCAGAAGTAAATTAATTTTATGTGCAGTCAACCACCAATACCAATATCAGATTACTTCATCTAGAAAGAGGAAAATGCAGGAACATCCAACAGCTGTTGGATCTTGGCATTAATTTAAAAATACTGAGAGCTGGTTCATTGCAAACTTCTCATGGCTTTGCTCAAGTGTGATAACTTATTTCCATAATCCACAGATCCAGCCAGAGGTGAGAATCCCATCGATGGACAGGAATCTATAGTTACACTTCAAGTGCTTTATTTGCATAAATAATAAGAGAGTGATTCAAGAAGTGATGCATGGGAACACCTGGCTGAGCTCCTTAACACAGTGAACCTTTGCAATCAAGGAAGTTCAGGAAATCCCACTTGAACACACCTGGCCAAAGCAGCTGAGGCCAGAGGGGGAAAGGGCAGGAGGCAAACACAGGGCAGAGAGAGCTCAGAGCTCTCTGACACTGCCTGAGCCTGGATTTTGCCACACAACCAGTGCCCCTCCCAGAGCCTGAGCCAAGAGAGGAGCCAGGGGAGCTCAGTCCCCTCCTGCAGCCACCGAGGAGCCCAGGGAACGCTTCCACCATATCTGTCAGCTCCTCTGCAGCACAGTGTTCCCCAGCCATAGAAACATCTGGTACACAGCTGGATATCACAAGGTTTGGCCACCTCTGCAAGCAAACTGACACATTTTGCTCAATTTTCAATCCAAGCTTTCCTTAACAGAAATATCATCAATTAAACTCTGCTGGTGATTTATAAAGAAAATCTGAGTCAGACAAGGCACATTCAGAGACCAACACTTGAAGCTCTGTCCCGAGTTTAATGATGCTCAGCACAGACTTTCATAAATCCCTCTCAACTCATTACCTGTATTACAAATAAGATTACTTTAAAAAGTAATGTTTTCAGTAGTCCTGCTTCAGCCTTGCATTTCAAATTCCTCACAGTTACTGATATTTTAAGACCGTATAAGCTTGTGATTAAGAAATTTAAAATTCACTTACTGTTCAATGCTGTATAAGCTGCACAAAACTACCAACTGCCATAATTCTTAGGTGGCCTTAATTTTAAAAAATAAGCTAGTTGACTCTTCTTGCATAAGAAGAATAAAGCTACTGGATTTTGTGAGTGTTACTGGCTGCATAGCAAAAGCCAATGGATTTGAAAAGCCAGATCAGAATTTGCTAATACCACTCAAGGTCTTGTCTTGGACACAGACACTTCATTTTTAATTACGTCTGACATGGTAACAAGAGCAAACATTCTCAACTAATCCACTGCCTAGGTAACCCTGTCTCCTTATATTTAATTGTTCTTAACAAAAATACGGAATTTGTAAGCTTCCCTGCATATCACATACCTGCTTTATTTAAGGGAAAAGTTTGTAACATGCTTGGCAATTGTTAACCAAAGCGATGTCAGAACTCTTAACACACTTCCAGAAACCTAGTAAAATAACTCACCACAAAATAACAATTCATAGTCTTAACCTGGCATTAACAAATGCATTTAAAATATTTACCTCTGCCACACTTCATTCAGTCACAATCCAACACCCTCAGCCTACAGATCAGCAGACTACAGGGGAAAAGTTGAATTTTAAGGGGAACAAATACCTACAATAGAACTGTAATATAAAATTCAAACTACCAATACACATCAGACTGGTGTATCTAAAATATACAGACTTAATTCTCTCTAGATATCTAACTAGTTTATATAGATCCTACCACAATCCCCAAACAATCTTTAGCTGAATTAAGATGGTTATACATATTAAAACTGCGTTAGAGGTACTTTGTTTTCCTTAATGAAACTGGTCTGTTATAATCACGGACTGCCGACAGGCTGAACTGCACTCCGAAGGTCAGGGACAAAAGGATTTCCAGTGGAAGTGTTCACAAACGAGATCGATCTCCCCGATGAGGACGGTGTCAGGAATCAGGTTCCCAGATTTTTTCCTTCTGCACGGGAGGAGCAGAAGGGAAAACCTCTGCACAAGAAGCGCTGGGAGCAGCACAGCCCAGCCCCGCAAAGGACACTCCGCTGGGCATTTCCCCGGCAGGTTTTAATGTGTAAGGAAGAGAGCAACTTGAGAAAATCCCCTCAAGATACTGCAGCAGATCGATCTTTCAGAACGAGCTGAATACTCACTTCCCAAAAAAGGGCTGCTTTGGGCAAACCATCAAGTGACTTGCGGCTCCCACCCTTTATAATCGATCAGCAGAGATTGGCCTGAGCTGCAACAAACAGTGCTGGCAGAGCGAGCCTCCAGGATCATTATTGTTATTATTTTACACAGAACTTTCTGCCTCAAGAGATACCAGACACAGGGAAAAGTTTTTCTTCATTCCTAACCAAAGGAGGACTCCGTGTTCCCGCACTGAACAGACCAAGCACAAAGCACGTATCTGCCAAAGAACGCTCTGTTGGATGAGTCCCGGCTTAAATTCACACTGGCTCCTCTAAAATAAATCTACATTCCGGGCACACTTAAATGCACTGGCGTGTGTCCACACCACAGAACGCTGGCAATAAATAAATAAACAAACAATGGATTCTATGTTGCATGTGCATCTGGGTGCAGCGACTGGCAACAATTAACTCTCATTACATGAAATTTAAAATATTACCGTCACATTGTTTACTTAGCGAGGATTTAAAAGCAAAGTTGACTAAAACAGACTGAATTGTTCAATGGCTGTTTAACACTGCGAACACTAACACCAGGAGCCAGAAGGGCTGTTCTAACTCAGCCTTATCGCTTCAATAATATATCAAATTAGTTTTAAACCTACACGGCCTCCAGAACCACCTTTGTCAGCATTTAAAGCAATAATGCACAGTTCGCTACACTTCTAATAACCAAACGCTCGCGAATTCTCGCAACGGGGCCGCACACCGCTGTAGAACGAGTGACAGCCCTACCCATGCGTCCTTAAACCCATTAATCTAAGGGAAATACAAAAGCGAAGGGAAAGGGGAACGGAAAGGAGGGAAAGAGAAGCGCGGCGCCCCTGCCCCCGGCGGTACCTCCTTGTCGGGCACCCAGGGTGGCTCGTCGAGGCCGAAGGGGCTGCGGGCGGCGCGGTGCTCGGGCACCATGCGCAGCCCGCTCGGGGAGCGCACCAGCTTCTTCGCGTCGCCGCCCGACATCTTCCCCCGCCGCCGCCGCCACCGCGGGACGGCCGCCGCCGCCGCCCAATGGCCGCGCGGCGCTGCCTGACGGACACGGCACCCAACCAATGGGAAGCAGCGACTCTCTGGCCCCGCCCACACGCTCGGGTTTGCCAGCCAGTCCCGTGGCTCTTGGCGTGCAATCCCGCCTCCTTCGTGCCCCGCAACCCGGAAGCGAAGGGCGCGGGCGACACCGCCGCGTCCCCGAGTTCCAGGAAGCGCCACACCGAGCCGCGGGGCCTCGCGGCCACGAGGGGCGGCTCCGCAGAGGGCCCGAGGTCGCTGCTGCAGCGCCCGACCCGGGCTCTGACCCGACCCGGGCTCTGACCGGGCCCAGCCCCGCCGCTCCCGGCGGGAGCGGGCGGGGAGCGAGCGGCGCCCTGCCATTGGCTGTCCCGCCGGCGCAGTCACCGAAGGGAGCTTTGATTGGCCTGTGGGGGGAAGCTGCTCGCTGATTGGCTGCGCAGGCGGCGCGGGATTCGTGAGGGCCCTGTGGCGGCGCCGCGCTCTGTCCGGCTGTCCGTCCGTGTGTTCGTGTGTCCGTCCGTGTGTCCGGCTGTCCGCCCCTCGCTCCCCGGCCGGTTCCGGGCCCGTAGGACAGCCCTGGCTGCACCGTGAGCCGCTCCCGGCGTTTCGTTCTCCCCTGGGCCTCATCCGTGGAGCGGCTCCATGTGAGCGGAGGGTCCGCAATGGTTTGGAGCCTGTCAGTCAAGGGACGTCGTAATCATGATTCATTTCAGTAAGTTTCGGCTTCCAAACCTTCTCGGAATGTTGCTTTAAATGGGTGTTACTTAAGAGTAACTTGCCTCTCTTAGATTTATTCTGTTATTAGTACCCATCACAGCCTCTCTCCCCATGCTGAAAAAGGGATTGTTCATAAAGTCATGTATTCTCATATAACTCCTGGGTCTCTACTGCAATCCTTCCTAAAGTTTGTCAGAATAATGCTAGGAACCTCTTCTAGGCAGCCATGGGGCTAAACTGTTGTGTTTCGGACCAAAGTATTAAAAGAGCTGTTTAATGTCTTTACAAGAAACAAGCAGAATTTAACGATTCCATATTAAATTTGCTTTTAGCTAATAAATGTATATTTGACTGTGCAATGCATGAATAATCCTGGGTCATCCTAACTTGCTCGTGTGTGATTTTTTTCTATTTGAAAATGAATGCCTCGTGTGAAGACTGACAGGGTAGGAATAAATGACTGTCCAGCTTGCTTGTGAGCTGCAGTCCAGAGCAAAAGCACTATGCAGGATTACAGGCAATTAACACTCCCAGTAGCTCTTAACTGCAGGATTATTGCTTGAATTCTTTAATAGGATAAATGTAAACAGCCAGCAGAGAAGACTTCTGCCAAAAGGTTGGGTTAGAGAATAGCCAGGGTTGGAAGGGAGCTCTGGAGATCATCCAGCCCAACCCCCTGCCAAGGCAGGCCCACCTAAAGCAGTGGCACAGGAATGAGTCCAGGTGGGTTTGGAATGTCTCCAGAGAGGAACACTCCATGGCCTTCCTGGGCAGCTGTTCTAGTGCTCTGCCACCCTCGGTGTAAGGGCTCTTCTTCATCTTGAGGTGAAGCTGAAGAGAGTTTGACATCATCCTCTTGGCACCCACCTCTGGGATTGTGATATGCATTGGTGAGATCCCCTCTCTGTCTTCTCTCCTCATCAGGGAGATGCTCCAGACCCCTCAGCACCTCTGTGGCCTCTGCTGGGCCCTTTCCAGTAGCTCCTTGTTTTGTACTGGGGAGCCCAAAACTGAACACAGAACTCCAGATGTGGCCTCACTTAGGGCTGAGGAGAGGGGGAGGATCACTTCCCTCAGCCTGCTGGCCACACTCTTCCCATAGTAAAATAATATCAATATATATAAAATAATAATAGCAATAATTCTCATAATAGCAGAATAATTGATACTTCTCCAGATACTACCCCAGAATAATTGATACTTCTCTAAGATAGCTGATAAATAGATTGTTAAAAATAGGAAAAAAAAACTTCTGAAAACTTTTGACACTGACTTATGCCTATTTTTTCTTGCCTGTGTCTGTGATAAAAGCCACTTTAATCACAGATAATTATGGGATGTGCTGTTCACTGCTGTGCTGTGTCAGGAGATGGACTGGGACCAGTTTGACTTGAACCCCAAAACAATTGCTGCCCTGAAAAAAGGTAATTTAATTTGCCACTGTCTGTCACCACACTGACATCCTTGACATAATTGTGTGTTTGTGGGTATAAGCAGACAGATGGACACTAACATTTTAGAACTGTCATTAAGTGTTTCATGAAGAAGTTTTTTGAGTAATTAAAAGTGTTGGGTTTTGGCCATGCTTCTATAATAAATTTCCAAACAGTTTTACAACTTGTGTTGGTACATTCCACGTGAGTGTTGCCTGCCCACTGTACAAGAATGCAGCACAGATAAACCTCAAGTAAATGAGAATTACAAATTGGGAAAACTTTGCTATGTAAGACAGCCAAAAGTATTTATAAAAATTCCTCTTGTTTCAGCTGACATAAAATCAGTAAAAGAGATTTTAAACTTGTCTGGAGCAGACTTGCAGAGATTGATGAAGCTCCCCAGTGCAGATATCCAGTGCCTGCTGAAAACAGTCTCTCACACACTGAGGAGGAACAGCATGCTCACAGGTAATGCAGTCAGGGCATAAAAAGGCTTCTGTCTAAAGCTCGGAATAACTGTGACAGGGAGAAAATTGGGTTCTGGCTCCTTAATGACATAGAAATCTGAGTTTAAAATGAGAAAGGAAAGGACAGCTCCCCTGAGGGTAAATGGAAGTGAATGGGTGTCATTTTTCAGGATTGAGTCTGCTTGAAAAAGGACAAATGTTTCTCCAGTCTGAAACACTTAAATACAGGAACAAAATATTTCCTTTTTCTATCTCACTCTCTTCCCCTCTCTCACTATTCTTTTTTTGGACTAAGACTAGTTGAAAACTTTATATCATATATTAAAAGCCTCATAAACTGATTTTTCATAAACACCTCATTCCAAAGAAGCAGGACCTAATAGCTCCTGCTGTGCAAATTCTTAATGATAACTCTGTATTTAAAATCTATGTTCTTGTGATTGCATGTGTCTTTAGGCTTTGACCAGATGCCTGCTGTGCTGTTTTATACTCTGCTATAGCTTTCTGTTTCCATAATGGCTGTGCTTGAACCTTAGCTGTCAAAATCCTCTCTCAGTGTTACTTTCTTCAGGGACATCTTAGAGGCAGAGAAAGGAAAAAAGAGTTTGAGAGGAGGAAATTACTCAGTGTAAATTATCAATCTTTCTGCAGATATTCAGCAGTAGGTCTGACGGGGAGACAGAGGTGGGGAAGACCAGGCTGAATTAGGGAAATTCTCCATCAATAAAGAAAGCATCCCTTGTAGGGATAAACCTTGTATACAGCATCTATTTTGTATCATTGTGTGCTGGAAAAATAATAAATGAAACTACCTTTTTCTTTTCTTTTTTTTTTTTTTTTAATTTTTAATAATTAAAAAACACTCCCAAACCCTGCAGCACTTCAGCTCTACCAAGATAAAGATAATTTCCCCTCCCAGCACCAGAAGCTGAGCCTGGGATGTTCAGTGCTAGACAACTTGTTAAAAGGTGGCATTCCTTTAGTGGGAATCACGGAGCTTGCTGGAGAGAGTTCTGCTGGGAAGACTCAGATTGGTTTACAGCTGTGCCTGTGTGTGCAGTATCCTTACAAGTATGGTGGATTGGAGTCTGGTAAGTGCTGAACTGTAAACTTGGATTCCTTTCCCATTTCATGGAATAGACTATCTCTGTCTTTAGGAACCTCATAAAGCAGGTGCACGTGTTCAGTGCATGTCCAGCTTCAGTAGGAAGCCAGTTAGTGAGTGAGGTGTCTTTACAGAGAGAAAAGCTTAATGTGCATGTCCTGCAGCACAGCATAACTTAATTCAGAATTACTCTTGGCTGTTGTTTGCCTGCCTGCCCCTCTGGGTTAAACTAAACACACTCTGAAACAATGTAAGAAAAGTGTCATGAGAGCTCATTGACTACTCAGGTAAGCACCTCAGCAGAACAGCTCAGCAGGTAACTTTCTACAAACATCTTGGGTACATGGAATGTATTCCCTAGCTGAGGATTTCAAATTTCAAAGATTAGTTGTTTTGATAACAATAATTGTACTGATTTACAGAGTAAAATAGATGGAAATGTAATTGAAGAAAAGTAATAGCGTTTTGTACTTGTGGTTTTCCTGGCTTTACCAAAGTATACAGGTTTATTCTTTGATTTGAGTATTTCTTACCCTTCTGTCATATTAATCTAACTCCTTTTTTTTCTTTTTTTATTATTGCTGCTGTAGAAAGGGAGGAAACCTGTGTCACTTCTGAGAATTCTGGTAGTCTGCCTTAGGTGTGTTTTGCCTGTGACCTTGCTGCTCCTTCCACACAGCACTGGCTTTATCTGGCAGCTCAGTGGCTCCTTCTTCTGGGGAAACTTACTAATTTCTTGAACTATATCCACCCACGTGGAAAAATCATGGACTGTACAAATTAAGATCTTGCTTAAAGGGCTCAGAAGGGCTGTGAGTAGCCCATGGTTTACATTCTATGATGCCATTAATCAGAGCAGAAACAATTATATTTTGTTCTGTTCCTTTGTGTGCTGTATTCAAACTATGCACATAGTTTGAATACAAATACATTTTTATCCATGCTCCAGCATTTCTTCCTGTTTGTGTTGAAATCAAGGAACAGAGGTACAGAGGAAGGTCCCCAACACCCTATTGGCACTCTTCTGTTGAGCCTCCCATGAGAAATACAGCAATTAAAGCTTAGGTTAAATGTGAGGAGTTTTAGCCTTTAGGAAACTTGAAGAGAACAGCAATGCTTAGAAACTCTCACAGAACTCTGCACTACCAGTGGAAGATTTTGCTACTGATTTAAAATTATGGTGCATTGTATTTTTTTACTCATTAGCAACTTCCCTTCTCATAAGTGGTGATGTTGAAATACATTCCTTTAAACAGTTACTTCATTAAATTTAGTGCTAGTCTTGTTTGTAATTCTCAGTGCGTGGAGGTTGGCAGCAAAGAAATCCTGAAAGTAAACAAAGGCCTCCTTTGCCTCCAGGATATCTTTCTGCTGTTGTAGGAATGTCAGTTGTGTTCACTTGTGTTGGCTGAATTTATTTTATATGCCCATATTCATAAGTAATATGTGAATATAATGGGACAAATTAATATCTATATTGGAATTCTGAATTAGAAAATAATGTTTGCTACTGATTCTTGGTAACAACATAGTTTTTTGATGGCAGATTATAATAATAGGAATCAAAATTTGTTCTTTTTGAGGTTGAGGGTGTGGCAGTACATTCTCTCTCAGGATTTTTCACAGAGGTGCACAGAGAGACAGAAAGAGAAAACAATTTCTATTTCTGCTCCTTGTTTTTCTCATGTGGAACGTGCTTGGAGAATTGTTTACCTGGGGTGATTGGATTTTGATGAGATTGTTTGAGTCTGGTGGCCAATCCAATCCACCTGTGTCCGGACTCTGGAGAACAGGGTCATGAGCTGTGAGTTATAGTTAGAATAAGTAGGTTTTGTAGTTTCTAGTATCTTCCTTTATATAGTATATTAATGTATTTTAGCATAATTATAATAAAGAAATCATTCAGCCTTCTGAATTGAATCAGACATCTTCATCTCTTCCCATGAGGTTTGCCTGCATTTACAACAGAGGGGTTTTAGTGGGTTTCATTCCTGTTTGGTGGATTTTTGGTGGTATTTTTTTTGTCAACAACCAGCATAACACATTTATTGGCCTGAATAACAGATTTGATGAAATTGATGATTTCTGTATGGGTGTTGTTGGCCCTGTGACTGTTTTCAGTGCCCTGAATGTTGCAGTAACTCTGGATTAAAATACAATTATTTAACCAATGGAGCATCAATCTGTCTAGAAATGCAAATATGCATCTGGAAGAACCCCAGTGACTATGAAATCTGAAGAAATGGACATTCCACCCTTTTTAAGTAAACTGAGGAGAGGACAAGTGCTGCTTAAGAGACCTGCTTAAGGCAGGTCTGGTTTTCAGAAAGCAGACCTGTGAGCCCAGAATTCATGGCAGAGAAATCCTTGTCTTTCAGCATTAAAGCAACATTGTGCAAAAAGCAGCCAGCCTAAGTAAGCATGGTAAGCATGGCCAGAATGTTTTACTTAGGAGCTGTTGTCTCAGCACAAGTTAGCACAGGTTTTTTTAGCATGAAATTCACAGTGCTGTGTGAAGCAGGCAGACTGTGCAGTGTCACTCTGTGGGGTGGATAAATGGTGATCCCCATGCTCCTGATCCCCAAGAGCAGGTTATCAGGTGCTCCACAGCTGTGCACACTGAGTACCACCCAGCGGAGAGTACAAAATCCAGTTGTCCCAGCTGGTGCTGAAGAAAGGACCAGGCAACTGCAGGAAAGTCACAGAAGTGGGGGTTTTTGTTCATCACTGATTTAACGTGGTTGCAAAATAACCAAACAAACATGAATTTCCAGGTCTGTATGTGTAGCTTTTAAATGCAGAGTGTGTGGTGTAACTTGTGTGCTGTTAAGAAAACTGCATGTGTAAGAGCCCTGTGGTTTCCTTGGCTACAGGAGCTGTCTACATTTGTACAGAAGATGTGTTCCCAAGCAAACGTTTGCAGCAGCTCATAGATCAACAGCATAAGCTGCGTGCAGATGTTCCAGCTGAAATCATACAGAAGATCAGATTTGGAAACAGTATTTTTGTTGAGCAGGCAGCAGACCTGGTAAGTAGTAGCACAAAGAATGTTTCTAAGACTCTTGATCCATGTGGATTTGAGGCAGTATTTTACTGTTAAGGGGGATCATTAGTGGAAGAGCAGCAGAGTTTGTAACTGGTTTGGAACACTTAATGATAGTCTCATGTCCTGAGTGTTTCAGTGAGGACCACTGCTTCCCCAGGCAGGCTGAGAAAGCTGGAGCTGTTCAGCCTGGAGAAGAAAAGGTTGTGTGGGGACCTCATAGGAACCTTCTAGTGTCCGCAGGGAAGTTGGAGAGGGACTCTGTCAGGCCATGTAGACAGGGCAAGGGTACAAACTGAAAGAGGGGAAATGTAGATATTAGGAAGAAAATCTTTACTGTGATGGTTCTGAGATACTGAAAGAGGTTTCTCAGAGGAACTGTGGATGCCCCATCCCTGACAGTGTTTAAGGCCAGGCTGGATGTGGCTCTGAGCAGCCTGGTGTGGTGGGAGGTGTCCCTGCCCATGGTGTGGGGGTGGGACTGGATGAGTTTGAAGGTCCATTCCAACCCCTTAACATTATATGACTCTATGAAAATGGAACAGTTTAGGAGTGTAGTATTACACCCTTGAGATTTAAAAGTATCAGTGAAGTCAGAGCTGCAGATAAATGCAGGTTGCAGTTTTGTCTGTTCCATCTATTCCTCAGTAAAACCACCAGACTTAGAGATCCACCAGCTGCCTTCATGATTCAAAACTCCCTGAACTCGTGCTGCAGCAGTGACTGCTGTAGTTCAGTCTCTTGATGTCCCAGCAGTGTCCTTTGCCCTTTGTCACTGTCCCTGTGTGTGTGGCAGGACACCTTCCAGCAGTGCATCACGAGGAGGCTGTCCCTGCTGCTGGCTCGGGGCATGGTGCGCCTCGTGGTCATCGACTCCATGGCCGCCCTGTTCCGCAGCGAGTTCGGCCCTGCCGAGGCTGCTCTCAAGGCTCGCTACCTGCAGACCTTTGGGGCACAGCTGCACAGCTTGAGCACCAGGTTCAGGACTCCCATTGTGTGCATTAACCAGGTATGGTATCTCATTGCTTCTTATTCTGTAGGGACTGTTTAATAAATGGCTGGAGGGTGATGGAACAGTCTGTGTAAATGCAGATTTCATGGTGGTGTATGTATTTACCACCATCAGATGACTATTAATAACTGATGGAAACTGAAGCTTCCTTAAACTGATGTACTTTAATAAATGTTAACCACTCAAAGTTTTTTATTTAAGCTTTTGTAGGTTGTTAATGTTCTCAAAAGTTGTCCATTAAAGCTAACAGAAATAGGTATGTATAGCAACTGCACAGAGCATCAAAGCAAAATAACAGAGTTCTTTTTTATCACTGGCTTCAAATGCCATGGTCAGGAGGATTGCTCTGGGAGCTCTGCAGGCAGTTATATTCCTGGAGACAGTGAAGCACCAGGGACTTTGCTGCATTTCTGTGGAACTCAGCACTTCTGTGCAACTGCTGAGATTACTGAAGCACTAAAGTGCATGCACTGACTTGGGCTGCACCAAAACAAGGCCACAATGATACTGGTCACAAAGAGTATTTTTTTGAGAAAACAAGGCAATACACTGCTCTTAGTCCACTCACAAATTGAAGGAGAATCTGAATGCCAGAGGTGAAGCATTCACACTCCAGTGTGGCCTTGGGAAGGGGTAAGTCACTGTGCAGGCAGGCCACTGAGAAACTTCAAAGGTAGTGAAATCATTGAGAACAGGGCACTTTTGGGAGATCTGGGCTTTTGTACTTTTCATCTCCAGCTACAGCACTGGAACAGTTTTGTCAATGTGGGGGGTTTGTTTGTGGCTTGGGTTAATTTTTTAATAAATAAGGCATCTAGTAGTAGTTTAATTAATGTAAGCTGCAGTTTGCTAAGTAGTTCTAACACTTTAAACTCAGCTTGTGATTCCCAAATCCATTTTAGTTTGTCTTAAAAGGATGTTTTCTAACTTGGCTTAATATATGCTCTGATAATTTGGATTTTCTTGCCTTGGTTCCCCTCCCTGCCCTCCTGCTTGCTGAATACAAACCAGAACCCCAGGTCAGCTGCAAACCTGTTTTTGTGCTTCAGGTGACGGATGCGGTGAGTGAGTCGGAAGCTGCTCAGTGCAGTTGGAGGTGAGTCACCCGCACAGTGACAATGTCAAACAGCAATATGAACCACTCTTATCTTTATCACTCCAGGGTAAGCTACAAGATCATGTGAGGAGCACTGGGGCATTTACCCAGCAATGCTGGATTTGCTGGAGATCAGCACTAGCTTGTGTGCTGAAGGGGAAGAAACTGTCCTCTACATTTACATCGTAATTCCTAATCACAAGTTAGCAGGAAAAATTCCCTGGGGTTAATGGCTTGAGTATCTGCTGACACGAGAGTATTTTTGCATCTTGTCTTGTCTTTGATGTAACTGCATGCACCTTCTGTCTGCTTATAAAATATAGCAACCAAACCCTTGGCAGCTGGCTTTGTTAGTGAGCTAAGAAAACACCCAAAATAGTATCTTCTGACACCAAGATATTAACAGGATTCAAAGGTATATATTTGTGCTTTGAATACTAACTATAACCTTGATTTACTGCAGAAGTTGGGTGCTACATAAATGGGTGTCTGTGAGAAGTTCACTGTGTCCTTCAGATTCTGGAACTGACACAGAACAAGGATAAGGTTCAATTATCATTTTTGCCTGGTTATGTTGTATTTCTTTTACTGGAGAAATTGCACTTTTTCCAGAAAAAAAATTGTTTTAAACCTTGAGTTGAAAGTCACATATATGCAGTGTTCTGTTTACCCAACACTTCTAAATATACTTGCAAATGGAATCCAAGGCCAACACACTTCGAATATTAAAAGTTCAACTATTTTCTCTTGTGGTTTTCCTGTTGCAAGAGAGGCCTGTGCAGGTGGAGGTAGGTATTCCCCCTAGCCGTAGTTGAAAGAATGACAGCTGTACTCTGCAGAAGCACTTCTCCTCCAGCTGTTTCCTTGCCACAGGGAGAACCTAAGTTTTGTGAGTAACCCCTGCCACCTCTGTCTTCAAAGACACATAGATTTCAATATATGTGAGAAACAATAAATGTCTTCTAGTGCAGTTTTGTTACAACAGAAGGTATTTCATATGAAATCATGCATGCAGAAATGTGTCACACTTCCCTTACAGGGCAGTGGGTAGCAGAGTCACTCCAGCACTTGGAATAACCTGGTCCAATCAGCTGCTGATGAGACTGATGGTCAGGCGGGTCTCCCTGCCTGGACACTCCCCTGGAGCAGCATCACACTGCGCTGGAAGCACGAGGACTTTAAGTGTTGTTTTTGCTCCTCATCTCCCTCCATCCTTTTGCTACTATACAGTACAGTTGGAAGGTGTAAAAGGAACAAAGTAACACTTTAGCATAGTAAAGTGTCCTGCTCCAAAAATGTACCAGGACTGCTTCAGGAAGAATGACCAGTGAAATGCAATTCTTCCTGGATGAGAGAAATTGATGGTGAAGTAAACGAACAATGGTATGGCTACATTTAGCCTTGTTTGCATTGTGAAAGATGATTTTTTGCACTTGGATATTCAGCTTTTCCTTGTCAGATGAGTGTCCTGAAGGTTCTGAAGGAAAGGGAAGCTGTGGGCAGGGGAAGGCTGCACACTAGAGTGGGATGTAGTAATCCCCATGATGGGGGAGACCTGATGTCTAATTTGATTTCAATAGCATGCTCATCCTGAAACAGCATTTACTGTAGTTTTGTACCCTCTCTGTTTCCAGACCCAACAGGACTTGAAATTCAGCCAGTTTATGTTGCCTGCTGGTGGTGCTGGGTCTCATGCTGCTAATATAAGGCTAGCTATTTCTTGTCACAAAGCAGCTGTCCTATTTTAAAACCATTTGCTATTAAGATTTTAAAGAAAATAATCCAATAAAGGTACTTTATTTTACCATCTTACTGTAAGAATTAAAATTGCACTGCCTTTGTACTAGATGAGTGTATCTAGCTTCATAGCACTCTAAAAAATTTTTTATGGTTCATTTCCACTCTTTTCCTGCTTTCTAGTCCCTTCCCTTCAGAGCCAAGCCCTCTTTAGTCTCTTTTATTTGAAGGACAGCAAACCACATCCCCCATCCCCTTGTTCTCTTTGCCCATTGCTGAGGCTGTGTAGCCTCAGGGCAAGGCCTCTGTGTTCTTCCTGATGCTCTGCCCTGCTTGCTGTTTGGCTGGATCAGCATTCTTCATGGGCTTATGGATTGCTGCCTCTCTTGTCCTGTGTCCCTGCTGCTGGGCTCTCAGCTGAAGGGCACCTTCAGCTCTTTTCATCTTTCTGATGCTATTGCTCTTCTGAGGTGACTTGTTCAGTTACAGCTTCACATGAGTTTTCTTCCCATCTTTTTGCTATTTGTCACATTTTTCTGCTGTCCTCAGACCACTGCCATGACATCCACTCTTCCTATGGCTGAATTTTTCCCTTGCTCTGTTCCATGTGAGCGCTAGCCAGGTGAAGTTACACTGTCCAGAGGCCCCTGTTCTGTGGGTACCTGCTCTCCTCAGTGAGTGATGCTCACTTGTATCACACTCTTATCAAGCTCTCCTGTTTCCCCTCCTCCTGCTGCTGGCCCTGATAAGAACTCCACGTGTTCCTGTGGAGTGACACTGCTCAGGTCTCTTTTGGCCAGGAACCCTGTGTTTGTGAAACAGCTACCTACTCTGCCTTTCCCCGGTCACACTCCTTCAGGACATTCATCCATGTTCCCATGTGGAAGCATGCAGCTGGGTAGCTGAAAGGGAAAGTTTTGTCTGGCTGTAAACTGCCCCAGCTGGAACTATGGCAGAAGATTTCTCATCGGACAACTGAGTATGGCTTAAGGAAAAGAGTCCCTGTGTGACTGCCTGGGGAAGATCCAGAGTAGAACAGGCACAGCTTGAAGCTGAAGGAAGGAGACCATAAGCAAGCAGAAAGGATGAGTTGCTTTCAGTGCCTCCTGCAACCCCTTCAGATGTCTCAGGGGCCCTTGTGCAAATAGCACAAGTTGTTTCTAAACAATTTTCCTAAAATGTCTTAATTCTCTGTATTTGGAAATGACCTCACAGCTTCTTTCAATTAACCCAACCATGAAGCTTAGAAGCCTTTGTGTACTCAAAGGAAAAAGTGAGAATGCCACAGCTCAGAGGCAGGGCCACCTCCTCCTCCAACCCCTTACCTTCTGTGCCTCCTCCTTAACAACTTCAGTAAAGATCAACTAATGCAGCACAGGTAACATTCCAGTTCTCTTCTGGTCCTGCCCTGTGTACCTGGGCTGGAACTGCAGCCAAGCAATGCTCATCCTATTGTGCTGACTGGGAAAAGCAGCCACAGAGATGTAGCTGATTAATGGGAGTCATCAAACCCTACCTGGATATTCACTTACAGAAGAGCCTCATCAAATGCTGGGCTGCAATCCCAGGAGTTTGCCTCACTGTGAGCCATGTCCAGAACTGTGGCACCTCCAAAGGCTCAGTCTGTAATATTTGGACCACTCTTTTTTGCAACTTGCAACTGCTTGCTGGAACGGCCCCGAAGTGTTAAAAGTCACAGATGGGTCTGCAACCAAAGTTCTAGTTTACCTGGTGAAAAACACTTTTACCAACAGACAGAAGTAACATTTTGCCTGTTCAAGTGTTCTGTCATTACCCCCTTGGTTTGTTGGTTATTTCTCTCCAGCTGAGTCAGAGTACATTACAGTTTGTCTCCTGGCTCCTGAGCACACACAAACCCTGAAATCTCAAATGCAGCTGAGCCCCACTGAGGCTCACAGCCAACACTGCATCACTCCATTCCTGCCCATCCCTCAGTCCCACCCCCAAGCACAGCCCAGGATGTCCATGTGACCCAAGGGCAGCTTTGGGGCTGCAAACCCTCCCAGGAACACAACACAGCACCTCTCTATTGAAGCCTTGTGTCAAAAGTGTTGAAATGTGCTTAAGTTTTAATAAATGCAATTTAAGAACCTTTCCTTTATAGAGCTTTATTCATCTTTGGGTTTCACAACTGAGATTTGTATTCTATACAAGAAAAAAAATGGAAGTAGTTTTTACAAAGAAGATTTACAGTCTAGAATGCATTAAGTCTTTAACCTGCAAGACTACTTAAATATTCTTCTACACTTGGAAAATAAATGTTAAATGACACTTGAGAAACTATGGTTCCCTAAATAGTTCTCATTTACAAGCAGATGTAACCAAGGAAGTGTTGCAACTTCACTGTGAGCACAAGCACCCCCCAGCGTGGGCCTCTGGACCTCTACCAGACCCCCACACTCTGTTTGGCTTCTTGCTTTGTTGTTTCAGGTTTTTTAACAACTGACCTTAACTATTCAGTGTACTGGCACAATTGGGAATGGTTTTAGGGGAAAAAAATAATCCAATGTAGATGTTTGAGACACTCCTCAATTCTAAATATTTACACACACACCCCTGTGCACTTCTGTAAATTGATGACAATGAAACTAAACTTGTCAGCATGACATCTGTTAACATTTATTCTCTCAGTACAGACTAGCATGACCAAAAATGCCACTCTCTTAGCAGCCTTCAGACACGTGTGACCTACATAACAAAAACCAACTATCATCAACTACTGTAAACACAACTGTCAATGCAGCACTGCACACACCTTTTACCAGATATTTACAACAGAACCACACCATTTGCAAAATCTCTGTTTCAGATTATACAATTTAAGTACAAATACTTCTCGAGCTCAAAACCATTTTAATTTACTAGGATTCAGGAGCACTTGGGGGATGAAGGTGTCATTTACTGTAAGAAAAAGTACAAACTGTAGGTAACTGGCCATTTTTGCATTGTGTAAGTGCAGACACACCACAACAACAGGTCAGTTACTCCTCCAGAAGAGGAGCAAATAATGAAACAATTACATTTTACAAGACTATTTAGTAAGATCTAAACTCAAGACCGAATATTACTAATATAGCACGCAGCCAGAGACAGAAGGGCAGCAGGCACCTTTCTATCAGTAACAATTCCATGTAAATTCATCCCACATCCTGCTGTACTCCTAGACTCACCACTGCTTGTGGGAGAATCTGAGGCCTAACATGGAACCCTTGTTACGTTTTTATTCAAGTTCACCCTTAAAATTTTAGTCAAGGACAAAAATGCCAGATTAAAACCACAACTGCACTACCAAGGTTGCAGTTTTCCTAACAAGGTATCTGTCCATTTTGAAGGTCTTTAACAGTTTTGTGTTTCATGAAGAGTTGTTGATGTAGTTTGGTGCTGAAGACATCCCAGAATTATACAAGTGGATATTCTGGATATATTCTTTATGCAGACTTAGCTGTATCTACAACCTTACAAAAGAAAATCCAGAAAGACAATCTTGTGTAAAAGTGAACTGAGAAGCCCATCTGAAATATATATAAACCATGTCCTGACAGTAACTAATCCAAGCTTCAAAAACAGGGAGTGTTGACTTTAATTTGTTTTTTGTTTTTTAGTTCTCAAACTTCTAACAGCTCTGTGGCTCCTAACAATAAGGACTTGGCTACTATTCTCAAGGATTTATGGGTTAAAGAAGTCTTGAAATTTGTTTCTTCTCAGAAAAAAAAAATGAACTTCTTAAATTTTAAAGTTGTTTAATATGCATTAGCTCAACAACTTAACCTTCCATCACGTTTTAAAATATTATATAAAGGATTAAAACATTCAGAAGCACAGTAATAGTAATGCCACCACCAGCAAGATCTTGACCAGGAAAATTCCCTTACTATCACCATACCACAGTCCTGCACTTTGCAACTTACTGTACATTGTCATTTGGCATGGTTACATAATTTATTGCTTATTTACACAGGGTAGAGGGTTTGAGGAGTTACAAAAAATCATTCTGCTTCAAAGCTGAAAGATGAATGTAGGAATCACATCCTTCAGTCTAAGTAAATTCCTTACTACCAAAACAGTTTTGTGTCTGAGTAGTTCTGTGGGTATTTTTTGGAAGCCAGACTCCAAGTGGGGTGGGGGCTGCACATGGGCACCCCTGGCCTGGCACCTGAGACGGTTCTTTCAGCAAATCCAGCTCAGTCTGCCTTTGTGCAGAGAGCCCAGTTAGCCAGCAGGGGCACAGAGCACGTTTTACTTTAGGGGGGGAAAAAAGAAGTATATATATTACATATTTTTTTAATATAAAAAGCTCTTAATAAAAAGATTAAAACTCAAGAGTCAACATTATATGAGTATCTATTGTTAAGATAACCGAGCAACAACCTGTTCCTGCTCGAGTTCATTAATGAATTGCACTATGTGCTAAAACTTCTACAAAATTATTAGCAGCATCATCTCTCACCATTCCTACACTGTCTCTAGAGCAGGTGCACCACGCACAGCTTCCTCTGCAGAGATGCTCAGAAGGTACCTCCTGGTAAACATTGTTAAGTGCATTACACAGACAACTTCTGCATCAGTTACTGTAACCAACTTAAAACCAGGTGCAAACCCAGTCAAAAACTCCTACTAAGTACTAATTCTAGTTACTTTTCACAGCCTGTTCAAATACTAAAACTTGCCTATGTTCCTATATTTTACTTTCTTCAGTTGTTGCTGACTTTGAATGAATTTTCCAGCTTTTCCCAAAGTAAATTTTGTTCGACATTTTCCAACTCACAACTATGACCACAAATACATTTCTACACACACTGCTTGTTTTTTTTACTTTCTCATCCAACTTCACACAAATAGGAATTTTTACAAAAGATGAACAAATTACAAGCTTTACAGAAAAGCAGAAGGAAATCCTAATGTCTGTAAAATCCTTAAAACATACATCCATCCATCCTTTGTTCCAGCAGCAGTCCTGTACACAGACAGCATGTACACATTAACCTGTAAGGTGGATCTGTGGTCACACAGGTCACTTACAGCCATCGAGTGTTCCCACGAGGGCCCTCA